GGCTGAATTGATGGATGGATGGATGGATGTTTGGTTGGATGGATGGACAGATAGACGGATGGACGGATGGAAGGAAGGAGTAGATCAGAAAGATGCAAGGTTAGATGCATGGTGGGATCAATGGGTTGGATGTGTGAATGAGACAGGGGCAACGGAAGAGCCCCCTTCTCTGGACCAGCCTGCAGCAGGGCAGGTGGGGACAGGAGCTGGGGCCGCACTGAGCTCTGCCCCCATCCCCAGATGTGGCCGGGACACAGAGGATGAGCGGAGACTCCTGGGTCTGGAGCTGGACAAGGCAGCTGGGTCCCTGCTGCTGGCCTTCCCCCCCTGTGTGGCCAGGGTGCCCGTGGCTCGCTGCCAGCAGCACTCAGGCTGCATGAAGTGAGTGCCAAGAGGGCAGGGCTTGGGGGAGGGATTGTGAAAGGAGAGAGGGTTTGCCATGAATTTGCTCTACGCTGGAGTTGAGCTGTGAATGTTTTGGCATGGCCAGGAGCACCGATGGGGAAAACTGAGGCACGGTGCTGGGCCGGGGTCCCTTTTGAGGGCTGGGGGTTTTCTGACCTCTCTGCTCCCTACCAGGAGCTGCCTTGGGAGCCGGGACCCGTACTGTGGCTGGACACCTGAGGGCTCCTGTGTCTTCCTGGAGCCCAGCCCCAGGTAATGTTGGCTGGGCTGGGTGGACTCTCTGGGGGTGACATCGGGGTCCTGGGATCTCCCCTGGACCTTTGAACTTTGAGCCACATCAGTTCCTCACCACTAAGCCCCAACAAACTCATCACCAGCTACAGCAGGTTGGGAGGCTGTCGGAGGCCAGCTGACCCTTTCTTTTTTGCGTTCCCCCACAGGACATCTTTCGAGCAGGACATCTCTGGTGGCAGCACATCGCATCTGGGCGAGTGCGAGGGTGAGTGTGGGACAGGGATGGCACACGGGGACGTGTGGCACATCACAGCTGGCCCCTGAGCCCCCTTACCCTCACCCAGGGCTGGTGACAGAGAGCTTCGTGGACGAGCCGGACGGGCTGGTATCAGTGAACCTGCTGGTCATCTCCTCGGTGGCCGCCTTCGTCATCGGCGCCGTTATCTCTGGCTTCAGCGTGTGTTGGTTCATCGGCCACCGGGATCGCAAGGAGCTGGCGAGGCGCAAGGACAAGGAGACCATCCTGGCACACAGCGAGTCGGTGGTGAGCGTCAGCCGGTTGGGAGAGCGGCGAGCGCGTGGCGGGCAGCCCGGAGCGCTGCTGGCCCCGCTGATGCCCAACGGCTGGCCCAAGGAGCTGGGCAAGGCGAGCCAACACGACCTGGACTCGGGCGTCCTGCCTACACCGGAGCAAACCCCGCTGCAGCAGAAGCGTTGCCCCGGTGCCCTCCAGAACTGCACCTGGGAGCAGAGTCACAACATCATCAACGCCGCGCTGCGGGACCCTGGTGCCAGCGGCACGCGGCTGCACGCCGGCGCCGGCCGCTCCGCCCGCGGCATTCCCCTCTCCTGCCACGCCATCCTGGTGGATCAGGAGCTGGAGGCCGAACTCAGCGACTCCTCGGGTGACGGGCACTGGGGACGGGATCACCACGAGGGTCCCCGCACCCGACAGCACCCCCCCGCCGGTGCCCGCCGTCCTCCCCGCAGCTCCTATGGCGACTTTGGGGGCACCCCGCGCCCCAGCCCTGACCGTCGGCGCGTGGTTTCGGCGCCTGGTGGGGAAGGGGGGGACTTTGTGGAGGGGCCGCCGTGGCGCCCCGAGCAGCTGAACTTCAATGCCAACAACGGCACCCAACGCCCCGGTGCCCACCTCAAGAGGAACCACACATTTAACAGCGGCGAAGCGCCGGCAGGCGGCTATGGGCAGCACGGCACGGCACCACGGGCACCCGGTGCGGGACCCCCCCGGGCACTCACGGACCTGCACCACCTCCTGCGCTATGGCATGGAGCGGACTCCCTCGGGCAAATAGAAGCTCGCTGCCAGGCTCCTGCACTCAGGCGCTGCCACCGTGGACGTTTTCCTCCGCCGTGCCGTGGCGCGGTGCCCCAGCTCTGCGGGGATGGGGCTGAGATGCTGCATGGGGGATTGGCAGCCCCTGGATTCCCATAGGAAGGGTTTGAGGTTTTTCCTTCCTGCCCCCGGAGCTGCACAGAGTCCCTGCTGTCCCCGGCTGGCACGGGGCAGTGCCCCATGCTCCGGCTGCTTTGCACAGGCTCTGAGTGTCTGTCTGCCCTGTCCCTTCCCCAGGCTGGTCCCAGGGACTGCTGCGCCTTGGGCGGGACTCCCTGGGAGGCAGCAGGATGGACACACAGACATGGGCACAGCTGGTGCAGAGCAAAGCAGTGCCCTTTGCCCAGAGCCCCTCAGTCCCATCGGCTGTGCCTCGGCATCTTTAGGTGCGTGCCAGCACCCTGGAAACACCCAGCCAGGACAGCACCCAGCAGAGGATGCCATCAGGTTGCATCGTCTGCCAAGGACTGGGCAAAACCTCCACTACCCTCACCTGGTACCAGCGGTGAGCTGTCATCTGTCCCCTTACACCTCCGCTCCCACCGAGATCCCAGCATTCCATTCCCCTCTCCTTGAAAGCACAGCTGGGCACTGGGATGCAGGAGGCTGGGGGATCCCATCAGACCCACTCTCTGCTGGCAAAGGGTGCCCTTTCGGTGCCACCCAGTTGCAGGTGGCACGAGGGACAGTAGGGCTCTGCAGGACCGCAGGGCTGGGTGCAGGGATGTGGGCGCTGCAGGTGCTCTGCCCCCTGACTGCAGGGTGGAGGGCAATTGGTCCCATGCTGTAAATAGGGTGCCGGGGCACCGCGGGCACCCCATCGCCCCGGGGCCGTTCATGCATGCGACAGCGGTAACGTCTCTGTATAACCCCGGAGCCCCGCAATAAACTTCTGTTTACAAGAGGTGAATTCCTCCCCACCGCTGCCTCTGATGCTGTGCCATGAGGAAAGGCAAAGCAGTCCCTGCTTCAGCAGAGCCTGTGGGGCACAGAGGTGGGGGGACAGCAGGCTGGAGGAGGCTGTGGGGCAGGGGAGCATGTGGGGCTTTGTGCTGTGCCAGCATGCAGAGCCCCACTGCGTGCACAAATCTGTGCATTCACACCTTCATTTGGGCACCCACCGCTCCCCTGCAGCCTCGTGGAAGGGGAGAGCTCAGTGCTGTGCCACCCTTGCACCCAGAGCCTCAGTGTGGGGCCATGGGGATGAGGAGCGCCCAGCCCCTGCCATGGGTGCTGGCACTTCCTTGAGCTGCAGTGATTGCGAAGGCGATGGTTTCCCAATCGAGCGGACGTGAGGCCAAACCAGCAGCGTAGTGACGAAGGAGGAAGGACCGTCCCCAGGGAGCTGAGTTGGCTGCGAGAGGAGGTGAGGAGGGGGCTGGGGGTCCCTGGGCCAGAATGAGGAGAGAGATATAGGGGCTGCAGCCCATCCACCGCCCAGGGGGGGCACACAGGGGTGGTGGTGGGAACAGCGCAGGGCACAACGCCTGGGGTGACATTAAGCTGCCTGCCCACAGCACCAGCACTATGGCACTGCTGGGTCACATCCTGCCACCACCTCCTCTGCTGCTGCTGCTGCTGCTGCCATACAGCCGTGCTGCACCATGCCACCCACAGCCCAACGCCACACACTTCATCTGCACAGATCCCACCCTCAGCACTTTCCCCTCCGGACTTCCCCCTACCACCATGGCCATCTCAGTGGAGTTCACTGCTGTGACCACCATATCCCCCAATGCGCTGGCCGGGCTGCCCCATCTGCAGGAGCTGCACCTCTCCTCCAACCGCCTGGCTGTGCTTCCAGAGGCCTTGCTGCAACCCGTACCCACCCTGCGCATCCTCGACCTGACCGACAACCTCCTGCCCGACCTCCCTGCTGGCATTTTCCATCACTCCATCCACCTGCAGCACCTGGTGCTGCAAGGGAACCTCCTGCAGGCACTGCAGCCAGCCTGGTTCGCGCACCTGACCCAGCTGCATTGGCTCAACCTGGCAGGCAATGCTCTGCTCGAGGTGCCCCCTGCTGCCCTCCGCCCGCTGCGCTCCCTGCGCAGCCTGGACCTGGCACACAATCGCCTGCATCACCTCCATGCTGATACATTCAGGGGGTTGCAGACGCTCGAGCGGCTCGACCTGGAAGGCAACCAGCTCCGTGCACTGCCGCCAACCCTCTTCATGCCCACCCCTGCTCTGCGCCTGCTCTTCCTGCAGAGCAACACCCTGCAGGTGCTGCCCGATGGCATTTTCTCCCCACTGCTCCATCTCCGTGTCCTCGACCTGGCACACAACCATCTGCAGGCTCTGCAGCTGCCCCCACGCTCCCCTGGTCCCCCGCTGTCCCTCGACATCTCAGGGAACCCCTGGGTCTGTGAGTGCTCGTTGCTGGCACTGCTGCAGGATGCAGCCCCGCAGCTCACTGCTGCCCGTGACACACGCTGTGCCAGCCCTGCACAGCACCGGGGGCAGGAGGTGGCTGTTGTTAGCCAGGCTGGCTGTGACCACGGAGGGAACAGAGTCCCCTGGATCACTAAGGAAGGGGTTCAGCACCGTGTCCCCACCTCTCCAACCCTCCCAGGGAAACTGAGGCAATGAGAACAGGGCTGTCCCCATCCCAGTGATTCCCATCCCCATCCCAGTGATTCCCATCCCTATCCTACCCCTCCATCCCAAAGCCTCACCCCGCCTGGTTCACACCATCCCCTGTCCCATCTCTCTGTCTCCATCCTTACAAAAAACAGCATTAAATGGATTCTCCTCGTTCTGCTGTGCTGCCATCTGCGTTGTCCTGTGAAGTTCATGAATGAAAGGCGGTGATGGCTGCCATGCCCTGTGGCCAAGTCCATCCCATCCGCTCCATGTTCCATGCCCCCTGCCTGCTCCCATCCAGGCCAGCCCGATCCCCTGGGGTGACCCTCCTGGACAACACAAAGTCCCCGAGCTCCCCATCATCTCCCCCAGGTGACACTGAGCCCTGGGGACAGACAGAGGGGTCACGGGGTGCTGTCACGGGGAGGAGTGACATAAAGACACTGCATGGGGACACTCGGTGCAGGGTCACTCGCTATGGGGACAATTGACACGTGGACACACACAGCAAAGGGACACTCAATATGGGGACAAACGGGGAGTGCCGGCGGGGGGGGACACCAGCGCGGCACAAGGCCACCTGTTGTGGGACATCCTGCTCGGGGACACCTGGAAGGGGACACCTGGCACGGGGTTACTGGGTAGGGGGACAACGGCCGGGAGTCCCCTCGTGGCCGCATCCCCTCAACCCTCCCAAAGTCCCGCCCCTCCCTCCCGATTGGCCGCGGAGCGCCCCACCCCTTCGCTGATTGGCTCCCGCCTCGCTATGAACGCGACGCTGGGCGGGGACGAGGAGGGGGGGTTACGATCGCGACCGGGAATCTCGATCGTGACCGGAGGTGGCGATATCCCACGCCCCCCTCCCCACAGTGAGTACGAAGCTGGGGTTTTGCAACAGCAGGAGAGCGGGACGGGGGGGGGTCCGGGGGTCCGAGGATGGGGGCGGCGGGGGCACTGCAATGTCCCATAGGACCCCTAAGAGTCCCCGGCGGGGACACCTCCCCCCCCCATCCCCTCCAACGCCCCCTAGAGGACGGAGGGAATCCTGCACCCCCCAACCCCCTTTCCAAGGACCCCCTTCCGGAGGGATCCAGCCCCGCTTCCATCCCTCGAGACCCAGCCCCACTGCGTCCTGGTGGGGTGGGAGGTGAGCCTCAGCACGGAACCCCATCCAATCCCCCACCCACCCCCCTAAAATCCCCATCCCCAGCGGTTCAGTGGCCTCCCGGTGCTTTCCACTCGTGCCATGAGTTTGCAGTGCTCGGCACCACGTGTCCTTTCTCTCTCCACCGCAGCGATGTCAGCCAACAACGCGGCACCAGCACGAAAAGAGCTGCAGGTAGAGCTATGGGGAGAATCCATGGGCTGGGGGCACTGCGGGCTCCCACCTCACTGTTCCCCATTGCCACCCTACAGCAGAGCGCGGTGGGGCGGGTGGCCAGCCTGCCCCTGGTGAGCTC